ACTCATGACATTCTTTGAAACAGCTGAGCGGATTTGAAATGCATTGGCTTGGCTTTTAAGCTTGACTTAATTTTGGCTTCCATTAAATATTCCAAAGTCCTCCCTCGTGACTCTTTGGTTTAGTTGTTTCTCTGTGTTTTTGAGTGTCGGCTTTGAATGTGAAAAACAGCATATCGGCACAACAAGCTCACATCAACTAGGGTGGTCCAAAAAAATCGATACTCACATATTAATTGATACTAAATTATCAATTCATACAATATTACAGTTTTCACTTGCAACGATCGATATCTTCTAGCTGCACCGCTGCAGACAGACGGGCGTTCAGCTCCTCCCCTCACTAACAGTTGAAGTATTTAACATTCATGATATTGAACTACACTTTGGGATGATTTTTAGTGGTCAATAAATGTTTTCAAAACATTCATTTATAAACAGTTATTATAAATGTTAACCTGGCTGGTGCACATGTTAACATTAGCTCCTTAACTATTAGCAGTTACTCATTAGCCGCATTAGCCACCTGTTATAATTACGTAGCGGCTCGTGGACTTGGGTTGCAGATGGAATATTGAGCCATGGTTGTTGGCTGTGCAGAGCAGTGGGGGAACTGTTGCTGAACTGAGCAGAGTATCCAGAGAGTGGACGACTAATCCGAGCAAGCAGAATAAACTCGAGCAGAGCACCACAATCAGATGGTTTAAGGTCTGAAGAGCAGAGCTGAGGATGTTGAGAGCTGCAGACTGAGACGAAAAAGCGTAAATGGTAGATAAGAGAGAGGCTACAGGCAGATGCAGAAAAGATGACAAACTTTTTTACTTTCACAATAATTTATTCAAATGTTTCTTATTTTGTTTTAAAAATGCAGGAAGTGACTAGTTTAATCTTTCACAGTGAGCTTTAACTTTTCCATAATGCGCTTCTGCAGTCAATGAGTGGAGCATGATCTCCTCTGTAGTAGCAGCTCTGTATTCTAGAGTCACATATGAGGCCATCTGTCTGACAGCTTTGCCAAAGCTGGGACATGCAACAGAACAATGATCCCAAGGACCCACCAGCAAATCGCAATGCTCTAGTGTTGTCTGTCCAAAGGAATACTCTTGTGGTTTCTTCAGATGCAACTTTGCAAACCTTTGTCATGCTGCCATGTTCTCTTTAGAGAGAAAAGGCTTTCTCCTCAGTCTTTTTCTAATTGCACTGTCACGAACTTTAACATTTACATACTATCTGAGGACTTTAGGGTCTGAGATGCAACTCTCTGGATTTTTGGAATTTCAATGAGTCTACTACAGTCTGACCTTCTTCTGGAAAGTATTAACACACACCTGAATACTCCAGATGATCAAACTGCCAAAACGATTTGAAAACTCTGCTTTGATAGAGGGGGGTCACACTTGTTGATCAACTAATCAAATGCATTTGATCTGCAGCAACTGGCTCTATCTAATCTCTAAATTACTTTTTTACATGTCTGTACGACCCAGACCTTTTTCATGATTCTTCTAATTTCACAGGATTGTATGTTGTGAGTCCTTGGGCTAGACTGTCAACACGAACTATGACTGTTTTATTCTAAAACATCTGAAGAAGAATATTGCCTCATATTACAGCATATCACTGGTGCTGTAAAAAACATAGAGTTCATGAATAAATCATGTATTTTTAGGCCATAACACAATCTTTGTTTATCTCCAGCCCAAACCTGCCTCCCTACATCCAAAATGAAATTAGGTTTTGACACACAGTAGGGGAACCAGAGGGAACTGCAGAGGCAAGTGAGCAAGTGGTTAGAACCATACTGAAGTGGCTCAGTCTTAAAATAGGTTCAGAAGACGGCGATCTTACACCAGAAATTGGCCACATTTTAAATCAGGGTAGACAGTTCAGATACCACCAAGTATATGAAATACAATGGCACATGTTTTTATAATTTTGTACATCACCATAGTAGAATTTAAATCAAACAATCAAGATGTGACTTAAGTACAGTCTTTCAGCTTTATTTCTCAAGGTTGAACTAAACAATCGCATTAACTGTTTCAAACAGACATCTTTTTTTATATACAGTTCTCACTGCCAGGATTAAAAGTTGTGATGGGCAGGGCTTAGCAGCGACTGACCTTTCAAAATAAGAGGGAACATAACTAATTCGAAAATATGCATGAGGGCTATATAAATAAGGAAAGTGTGATTTGTCAAACGTACACGTGACACAGTGGGGAGTGACAAATCTTATCATGCTCTGCTGGTGCAGTGGCTCGTTTACATAAAGAATGGCAAATGCTGTCTTAAAAATCCTCATATTCCCGGGAGATCCTTGTTTCTTGCCTTCAGTAATGAAGCTCATGGCTGCTGTGGGACATACTAGTTCAGCTTTAGTATAAGTAGAACAAAATGATGTGTTCTTGATTTAATTTGTGTATTTTCAATCTGTTATTTTAAACAATAGTTAAAAAGTATGATGCACCTTAACTATCACTTTG